TGTAGGCTGTCTCCCTGCTCTCTTGATGGTTTCTTTGGCTTTGCAGAAGCTTGTCAGTTTAATGAGGTCCCACTTGTCTATCTTATCTCTTATGGCCTGTGGGTTTTGGGTTTTGTTCAGGAATTGGATGCCAGCTCCAATTTCCATAAGGATGTGTCCCGCATTGGAACCAGTGCTCCAAGTTTTGAGTTGGAGGTATTGGTTGTCATTGTTCAAGCCATGAGGTATATAAAATTTTATAGGGTCTATTTCTCAAGAATTAAGCCTGAGATTTGGAGACGTTGGGTTAAGCATGTTAGGTGTTCAAGATTTTCGAGGATCTATGTCCCAGGGTTTAAACATGAAATATTTGAGATCAGTGTTCAAATTGTGAGATCTCTGAAATCTTTGAGTGTCTGTGTTCCACAATTGAACCTGAGGCACTTGGGGTTCTAAATTCAGGATGTGAGGACCCTTACCTTATCTCACTAAGAATCTGTCTACCAAAGTATGAGTATGAAGTATTTCCAGGTCTGTGTTCAGGGTGTATGCTCTATGAAACTCATTGAGGGTCTATTTTTAAAGGTTTCAGTCTGAAGACCTTGAGGTGAATGTTTAAGATGGGAGATCTGTGAACTCTTTGAGGATTTGTGTTCTAAGTTTGCTTATGAGTCTTTTGGTGCTCAGTTCAGAGTGTGAGGTCATTGATATATATTTTTTTCAGTGCTCAGCCTTCTATTGGGGTTCTGCCTCCCCGGGACAAGTGTCCGCTCTGCCTGTGTCTTGTGGAGCACATTTCTGTGGCAGGTGGGTTGCTCTGGTGGCTGGATGGGGGAAGGGCAGGGGACCCTGGTGAGCTTGTGCTTGTGTGGGGCTGCGCATGCAGTGGTGTCAATCCGGGATCGGGGCCCTTTCTCCCAGGGCAGCCAGGAATGGTCAGGCCGCTGCTGAGGCCTGGGCTTCCCTGAGGGGCCTTCGCGTGGCGCCCCTGGGCCCTGCCCTGGCCCCTCTCCCCAGAAGATGGTCTTGGAAGGGTCACAGAGGCATGCCTGCCTCCCGTCGGCGTGTGTCCCTTGCCTGGTGCCTCTCTCGGTCTGTTCCCTTCCCTGGAAGCTGGGACCCTGGTCCCTCAAGGGAGGGTCCCCAAGAGAGTCCTGCAGGGTCGTGGTATGGAGCTGGGAGTGTGCAGGGGAGGGAGCGACTGGGACGGGGCCTGGCGTCGGAAGGGCTGGGTGGCCTAGTCATCCTTGTTCTTGGCGCCATGTTTGAGGATGCACGTGAACTCCACATAGTTGAAGTTGCCTTTCTTGTCGATGGGTGCCTCGCGGTACATCTCGTCCACCTCCTCGTCGGTGAATCGGTCGCCCATGGTGGTGAGCAGCTCCCGGAGCTGGTCCTCGTGGATAAAACCTGAGGCCTCTTCGTCAAAGCAGGCGAAGGCGTTGCGGATCACGTCCTCCGGGTCGGTGCTGTTCAGCTTCTCCCCAAACATGGTGAGGAACATGGTGAAGTTGATGGGCCCCGGGGCCTCACTCATCATGCCCTCCAGGTACTCGTCGGTGGGGTTCTTCCCCAGTGAGGCCAGCATGTCGTGCAGGTCCTCCTTGTCGATGAAGCCGTCACGGTTCTGGTTGATCATGTTGAAGGCCTCCTTGAACTCCTGAATCTGGGACTGGTCAAACATGGCGAAGACATTGGACGTGGCCCGCTGTGGCCGCTTCTTGGTGGTCTTGGCCTTGGTCTGCTTGCTGGACATCTTGGCTTCAGGTGGGTGGGCTTCCCTGGTGCGGAGAGGGCGCTCGCTGGTTCATTGATCTTTTTTTTTTTTTGGCTCTTTGAACCAAGGTTTGAGTCTGAAGTTTGAGTGTCTGTGTTTAGACTATGAGGTCTGAACTCTTTGGGGTTCTGTGTATCAAAGTTTTTATTAATACATTTGGAAATCTGTATTTAATTGTGAGATCTCTGAAATCACAGAGAATCTGTTGTGCAAATTTTGAATTTGAGTTACTTAGGGGTCTGTATTCAGGTTGTGAGAGCTCTGAATTCTTTAATCATCTCTGTTGCAAGATTGAAGGTAAATGTTAGAGTGAGAGTCTCTGACTCTTTGACAGTCTTTTTTCACAGGACTGATCTGAAATATGAGGGGGTCTCTGTTTAGAATGTGAGATCTTGGGCCTCTTTGAAGATCTGTGTCCTAGAATTCTGAACTTGATGTATTCATCAGTCTATGTTAAGGTATAAGTTCTCATGCGTTTGTGGATCTATGTTAGGATGTAAAGTTTGGGAAGCAACAGAATTATTTGAGGGTCTGTGTTCCAACTTCTGAATCTGATGTATTTGAAAGTCTGTGTTTAAGCTGTGATGCCCCTGAACCTTTTGAAAGCCTATAATTTAACTAATATATTTAGGGGTCTATGTTTAGGATATGAAGGGTCTGAACTCATTGATGGTTTGTGTTTCAAGATCAGAGTCTGAGATCTTTGAAGGTATGTATACAGCATGTGAGGTCTCTGATTCCTTGAAGATCTTTTTATTAGCATTGACTCTGGGGTATTTGGGGATCATCTTTAAAGTGTGAAGTCTTTGAGGTCTGTGTCCTAAGATTTTAATTTGATAATTTTCAGGTCTGTATTTAAGATGTGAGGTCACTGAAACCTTTGAGCACATATGTTCCACATTTTGAGTCTCTGGTGTCAGGGTGTGTTCAGGTTATAAGAACTCACAAATGTTTTAGGATCTGTGGTTTCAAGTTTGAATGTGAGGTATTTGGGTTCTGGTTCTAAGTTCAATGTGTGAGGTCTCCAAACTCATTCAGGTTTGGTAGTCTAAGTTTGAGAGGGTATATGTTCAGTGTTCAGGTCTCAGATCCCTTTGAGGGTTTTTGTCACAAAGTTTGAGTCTGAGGTATTTGAAAATTCATGTTCTGGGGCAACCCCCTCATGTCCCCTCCCACTGTGGGAGCTTTTCTATACTCTCAATAAATCCTGCTGAAAGAAAGAAAGAAAGAAAGAGAGAAAGAGAGAAAGAAAGAAAGAGAGAGAGAGAGAGAGAGAAAGAAAGAAAGAGAAAGAAAGAAAGAAAAAAGAAAGAAAGAAAGAAAGAAAGAAAGAAAGAAAGAAAGAAAGAAAGAAAGAAAGAAAGAAAGAAAGAAAGAAAGAAAGAAAGAAAGAAAGAAAATTCATGTTCGGGGTGTGAAGTCTATGAACTCTTTGAGGATCTGTGTTTCAAATATTGTGTCTGAGTTATTAGGAGGTATTTATTCCAGTTGTGAGGCCACAGAACACTGTAAAGTTTGTGTTCCAAGGTTGGAGTTTGAGGTGTAGGGGTCTGTGTTCCAAACATCAAAAAGTAAGGTCTCTGAACACTTTGACAGTCTGTGTTCCAATATTTGAATGTGTGACATTCAGGGATTTGTGTTGAGGGTATGAAGTCTCTGAATTCTTTGTGGATTCTGTGTTCCAAGTTTTGTTTAGAGGTATTTGGGGTTCTATGTTCAGGGAGCAGGAGGTTGGTTTTAAATCATTGCATGTGTTCTATGTATTTTAGGGTCTGTGTTCAGATGAGACGTCTCTGAACTCTTTCAGTGTGTATTTCCCAAGGTTGGATTCTAATGCATTGGTTTGTGAGTTCAAGATTAGAAGTTTCTAAACACTTTGTTGATCTTTGACAAAGGTTTGACTCTGAGGTAATGGGGGAATCTGTATTCCTTGTGTATGGTCTCTGAACTTATTGATGATCTGGTTTTCAAGGCTTTATTACTAGGTGTCTGGAGTTCAGCGTAACATATAAGAACTCTAAACTCTGCTCTAAATAGCTTGTGTTCCAAAGTTGGATTCTGATGTATTTGTTGGTCTTGGTTAAGGGTGTAAGGTCTTTGAACACTTTGAGAGTCTGTGTTCCAAGATTTGAGTGTATGGTATATGAGGGTATGTGTTGAGAACGTGGGCTCTCTTCGTTGTTTCAGGGTCTGTGTCCCAAGATTTGAATTGGATATATCATTTCTGTTCTCAGGCTGTGAGGACTGTTTTTTGAGGGTCTGTCACAAGATTTAATTCTGAGGTACTCACTAAGGATCTGTGTTACCAGGATTTAGTCTGAGGTGCTTGAATGTCTGTATTCAGGGTGTTAGATCTCTGAGATCTTTGAGAGTCTTTGTCTCAAGGTATAACTGTGAGGTATCTGGGGTCTTGTTCATGGTGTAGGGTTTCTAAATGCATTGATGGTCTCTGTTTCAAGGTTGAAGACTGAGATATTTAAGGTCTGTCATCAGGGCATGCGGTCACTGAAATCTCTGAGAGTATTATTTTTTCCATGGTTTGAGTCTGACTTCTTTGGGTGAATCTGTATTCAGAGTGTTTGGTCTCTGGATGTGGAGGGTCTGTGTCCCAAGTTCTCATCTAAAGTATCTGATGTCTGAGTTCAGAGCATAAGGTCCTTGAAATCTTTGAGTATCTGCTCCAAATTTTGTGTCTGAAGTATTTATAATCTGTGTTGAGGGCTTTAGGTCTGAAATCTGAGGGTCTGTGTTCTATGATTTGAGTTTTAGGTATTTGGGAGTATCTATTCAGAGCATGAAGTCTCTAAATTACATTGTCAGTCTATCCCATTGACTTCAGGTATTTGAGCATTTGGGTTCAAGATGCAAAATCTCTAAACCCTTGTGGATCTGTGTCACAAAGTTTGGGTCTGATGTATTTCTAAGTCTGTATTCAGAGAGTGAGTTATCTGAATACTTTGTAGGTCTCTCTTCAGGATGAAAAGTTTCTGAAATTTTAGATGGTCTGTGTCCCAAATGTGGTTCTGAGGATCTGGGGGTCCTTTTGGGGAGTGACATTTTTGATATCTTTGAAGTTCTCTCCCAAAGTTTAAATCTTAGGCATTTGATAGATATTGTTTCAGGTCTGAAGTCCCAAAAATCTATGAGGTTCTGTGTCACAAGATTTGAATGTGAGGTAACTGGAGAAACTATATTCAGGGTATGATATCTCCGAACTCTTTGAGGGCCTGTGTGACAAGAGCTGAGTATGAAATTATTGGTGGTTTCATTCAGAAAGTAAGGTCTATGAGCTATTTGAAGGTCTGTGTTCCAAAGTTTGAGTTTGAGGTATGTGAGGATCTCTTTTCGGGGTATGAAATTTCTCCTAAGATTTTACTCTGAGGTGGTTTGTTTTCAGAGTATAAAGTATTTGAATTCTTTTGGCGTCTGTGTTCCAAGGTTTGATTCTGGGGTATTTGGGGAGCTTTTAGGGAGTGAATTTTCTGAACTCCTATAGAGCCTCTTCTAAGAGTTGAGGCTGAGGTATTAGGGACTGAGCTTAAGATGTTGTCTCTGAACTTTTAAATGTTCTGTGCCCCAAAAGTTTGAGTATTAGGTATTTAGGGGCTCATACTTAGAATGTGAGGTTCTTGAAATATTTGAAAGACTATTTTTCCACATTTTAGCCTTAGGTGTTTGAGGATCTATGTTCAAGGGGTATAAGGTCTCTGGGTTCTTTCAGGATCTATGTGCCAAGTTTTGAGACAAGTATTTGTCATACTTTGGTCAGGGGTAAGTTTTCTAAACTTTCTGAGGGTCTATGTTTCAAGATTTGAGTCTGAGGTGTTGTACTTCAAGATGTGAATCTGTGTTCAAGATATGAGGTCGCTGAGAATCTTTTGAGGTTCTGTTTTTCCAAAATTTTGTTTTTGTTTTTGAGTCAGAGTCTCACTCTGTGGCCCAGGCTGGAGTGCAGTGGCACGCTGCTCACGGCCACCACAGCCTCGACCTGCTGTACTCAGGGGATCCTTCTGCCTCTGCCTTCCAAGTACCTGGAACTACGGGTGTGAGCCACCACACCCGGCTAATTTTTTGATTTATTGTAGAGATGAGGTCTCGCCATGTTGTCCGGGCTGGTCTCAAACCTATGGGCTCAGGCAATCCTCTCACCTCTGCCTCCCAAAGTGCTGGGATTATAGGCGTGAGCCTCCGTGCCCAACTTTCCTAGTTTTTGATCTCAGGTATATGTGGTCTGTGCTCAGAGTGCAAGGTCCTTGACTTCTTTGTGGATATATATCCCATGGTTTAAATCTGAGGCTTTGGGGGTCTCAGTCCAGGGTGTTTTGTCTCTAAACTTTTGAGGATCTATGTACCAAGTTTTAAGTCTTAAGTATTTGGAGTACTGTGGTCAGAGTTTGTGGTCTCTGACTTCTTGAGGGTCTGTGTTGGAGATTTCAGTATGTGATGTTCTAGGCCTCTGTGTTTAAGGCCACTGGAATTTCTTTTTTTTTTTTTTTGAGTTGGAGTCTCACACTGTCACCCAGGCTGGAGTACAGTGACATGCTCACAGCCACCGCAGCCTCAACCTGCTGGGCTCAGGCAATTCTTCCACCTTAGCCTTCCAAGTAACTGGAACCAAAGGTGTGCACCACCACACCCAGCTAATTTTTAAAAACTTACTGTAGAGACGATGTCTCATCAAGTTATCCAGGCTGGTCTCAAACCCCTGGGCTCAGGCAGTCTTCTCACCTCCGCCTCTCAAAGTGCTGGCATAACAGGCATGAACCACTGTACCCAGTTGGTCCCTAGAAATTTTTGAGGATCTGTTTTCTAAGATTTGAAACTTAGATATTTGTTGTCTGTGTTCCAGTTGCGAGATCACTGAATTCTTTGAGGGTGTGGTCACAATCTTTGAAGCTGAGGTTTTGGGTCTGTATACATGGTGTAAGGTCTCAACTCTTTGGGTTTTTGCTCCAAGTTTTGAATATGAGGTAATTGGAGGTCTGTGTTCAGGAAGTGGGGTTTCTGAACTCATTTAGGACCCTTT